TACATTTGTACATGTACATGTACATACGTGTATTGGTATTATCAGTATATTAATATATTAATAGATATAGGTATTAAAGTACATGTACATGTATTAATGTATTGGTTTCATTTGTTAGGGAGAGAAGTGGGAGGAGCTACTGTATGCGAGGCCACTCCCTGACGCTCATAAACACAACATGAAGGTTGTTTGTTTGTTTGTTTGTTAATTTGTTTACATGTTTACTTGTTTGTATAGGGTCGTCTTGTTGACTTGATAAACCTGTTTGGCCAGTTGGGTGGGTTTGATTTTTTAAAGAAGAGAATTTGTGAAGGAGAACTAACAGTGAATATACTGTCCTTTTTATTAAGGTTAGGTTAATTAACTATTATTAATATAACCACTGGTTAATTAACTATTATTAATAATTAATTTCAGACCGTTTGGTTTGTGTTCAAGTTTTTTAACCGAGAGAGTTAGAAATGACTACATCATAGCAATAGTGGTGAGTAAACATTGTATAATGTATTTATTATTAATTATTAATTATATTTATTTAGTAATTAATTATACATGTGTACATTCACAGGATAAATCCATTGAGTTTATAAGCAGTTTTTTTTTCAAAAAATGGCTCTGAAATCTCTCCAAATTTTTATTACATTTTCTGATACTTATTGATGTCCTTATGCTGTGTAGCAAGTTTGAGCTGATTCCAACTTCAATTTTCTAGTTACGGCTATTCTTTAAAAATGCTAAAATTCTGAAAAATATCCAAGGCTATAGCCCATGGTTTTTTCCAAAAAATGGCTCCAAAATCACCCCAAATTTTTATTACATTTTCCAATACATATTGATGTCCTTATGCTGTGTATTAATGTCCTTATATTCTCTCCTCTCCTTACAGTCGTTGTGTCACTTGTGTTCAGTGATTCCTGGTAGAGATGATATTGAGACGTTTCGTTTGAAAATGATTTTTAGATTATTACAAATACCGAGCTTTTTTCGCTTAGCCTGGACTTCTCCCCCGACCAGTTGAACCACTTGTTTGGCTGCTTTCAGAAGAGTTGGGTAGGAGCTAGCAAGAAGCAAAGAGATGAACTGTTGGACTTTATAAGACACTTAGGCAGAGGATGA